GGGGGATTGCAGGCATGTGCCATGACATGTGGCTTGTCTCAGAGTTTAAAGGTAATAAACGAGGCAGATATAAAGTGAAGTCAGAGGTGCCAAACTTTATCCTGTTTAGGAGTGAAAAGTCAGTGTCTTTTCACAAAAGCAGCTTTTAAGTCTCTGACCACCTCAGAAGAAATCACAAATCTAGATCTTAGTGAATATCAGGTTAAGAGCTCAGGGTGGTGGTCCTGTGTCCTTCTGTGGTGATCCCCAACTAATTTTATCCTCTCTTCCAGTTTATTTGTGGAGACACTGTGGCAGAGGCATCCTGGCTTTAATCATCTATTAGTTTTTATGGTTAATAAAAATGTTTGGCAAAGCCAGGACCTATAGAAGGAATTACTACTTTTAATGAGTGATAGACCCCGGGTCAAAGGCTCAAGGAGTTCATTGTCTTTGTGCTGGTGGTTTCTATGTCAGGAAATACATAATTAAATCAGTCTATGTTGCGGTAAATGATGTGAAGGAAACATTTTACTGCTAGAAAAGGGAATAATAGAGATCTGGAAAGCTTACTAAGAGGATATAGCTTTTATTCAAGGTCCTAAAATGGGGATCCAAAGGAGTATAAAGGGGGTGCCAAGTTAAGGGATTGATGCATGTGCAAGTTCTAAGGTGGCAAGGTACTTGGATGGTGCGACATGAAAGACTCAATGGTGACAGTGATGTAAGATGGGACTGTTGAGGTGGGGACCAAACAGTCTGTGGACACGGTGGGGACATGGAGAAGATGTCCAGAGATCTTTGTAGGGTTTTGACCAAGGGAGTGACATGGAGTGTTTGCCTTTGAGGACTCTCCTTACAGCAGATCTTTGGGGAATGATTTGAAGGGCTGGAAGGGTAAAAGTGAGAAGGCAGTTTCCTGGTGTAGGACAGATGTGAGGAGACATAGGACGTGGCAGTGCTAGCATTGATGCTGTACGTAGGAAGTGATTTATTTGGAAGTAGGATTGATGGTCTAGTATGAGCGATGAAGAAAAGCATGCTTCCTTTTTTGTGGCGTGGTCACCTAGGTGGAGAGAGTATTGTTTGCTAAGATAGAAAAGACTGAGTTAGGAAGCAGACATAAAGAGTTCCATATTGTTTGCTGAGTTAGAAAAGCCCAAGATACTGAAGAAGAGAATTGATAATTTTTAGATATAAAAGTTAGAAGCGTGGAAGGAGAGATGTTTAACATAACCACTTGGGAGTCATCGGAATGTAGACAGTATAAAAAACTGCTTAGTGATGGAAATGCCATGACCCCATGGCAGAAATAACCTGGTGCTGAGATGGGGTAACCCAGGGACTCCACAACAGTCTCTCCGACTTTAAAGCTTAGATTCTCTCAATTTTGGCATTTAGGTAACCTCTTTCCCCTCAGATACTATCTGCTTTCTTCCTTTTCATAGACCTGCAGTACAGTGGCATCTTAAGAAACAGTTGTGATTAGAGAGACTTCATTTCTGTTTTGTCGTTTATTTTGGTGCTGGGAATGCAACTCAGGGCCTCACCTATGGTAGGCAAGACTTTTACCGTTGAACTGTATCCCCAGCCCTCTTTGTTTATAGTGTTTATTTTGATCTGTTTGCATCTAGGCTATAAATATACCCACTATCAGACTGCCCGCTGTTGACATTGTTTATTTGCCTACAAAGTTCTCCTTGGGTGCTGTTTGCTCCCGTCTCAGATGCCATAACTCTGTGGAAGGCTTTTTTATTCCTGCAGCTCTTGCACTGGAATAGTAACTAAAGTCCTATGCCATCAGAAGTTTGCTGTCTTTACTGTGACATCTAGTAATGTCATTTTAAAACATTTATTGAAGGAGCTGTTTGAATTTTTTGTTTGGTCATTCATTCAACAAATATTTAATGATCATCATGAAAATGCTGAAGATACAGCTCTAATCAAAATATTTTAAGGGTCTTTACCTACTAACATTCTGACTACATGCTATTTTGTTTTTTAACAGCAGTGAGGATGAACTATTTATTCATGATCTTTTTCTTAAAACAATTTTGGGTAAGAAGCTTGAGCGCAACTGTAGATCCCAATTTTACCAGTGGACAATCATTAGCTTACATAGTTGGCTCAGGATAAATGGTACTGCTGTATTCTTTTTGTTTTAACTTTCGTCTTAAAAAGAACAATTGTCAGTCTGATTTTGAAATTTACTATGTATTTTTTTTTTTTCTTTTTTAAAAGGTTTGCTAGCCAACATACTGGGACACACCTGTAATTCCAGGACTCTGGGAGTCTATGGCAAAAGAATTGCAAATTTGAGCCCAACCTGGCCAGCTTAGTGACTTAACAAGACCTGTTTTAAAATAAAAAATAGAAATGGCTGGGATGCAGTTCAGTCCCCAGTACAACACACACACACACACACACACACACACACACACACACACACACACGAAGGTTATCAGTGGTACATCTTTACTTAGCACAACTAACACATGGGTTTATCTTACTTTGAGAGAACAAAGGCATATTTTATGGATCATCCTTGTGTAACCTACAGGTAATAATTCTCCGAAAAACATTTTAAAATATGTTACCTGTGATAGCATAACTTATTCTTAGGCTTTTTACAAGTTTTGTAACTCTGGAAAGAATTCAAAGTAGATGTTGCACTATTAGAAATTGTCATTTACAGTTTGTTAAAAAGCGTTAAGTAGAAGTACAGCTAGTCTAAAAATGTTAACTTTTCTATTTAGCAACAGTATTCAGCAATGAAAGTATAGTTTGTGTATTCACATGGAAAATAGTCCTTTGTACTATTGTGACTTAGATAGGATGAGAAAATTCCTCATTTTGTTTAGCAATACTTTCCAGACTTAGCCTGATTTTTTTTATTTTACGTGATTTTTTTTAAAATAAAAATCTTTGCTTTTTTCCTACTAAAATCTTGCCAAGCAGCAGTGTGATAAGATGTATTTGGATACCTGGGAATGTACCTCAGTGGTAGAGCATTTGTCCAGTGTGAGTGAGTTTCAGGTCTGAGCTCAGGATTTTAAGTCAGTATTAATTCAAATGGTCAGCAAACTTAAAATCAATACCAGCTGAGGCATTTACGCATTTTAATTGCTTCTCAGTTCTTAACTGTGAAAATTCTGTCTCTGCAGTCTTTTTGGTACCAGTTTTTCAGTGGACCAGAGGTGGGGAGTGATTTGGGATGATCAAAGCACATTACATTTATTGTATATATTATTCCTATTATTATTACATTGTAATATATAATGACATAATTAGACAATTCATCATAATGTAGAATCAGGGGGAGCCCTGAATTTTTTTCTTCTAAGCAGATGGTCCCATCTGGGAGTGATGGGAGAGAATGACACCTGAAGTGTGTTGCTTACATCCAGTCACTCAGTAGTTGTGTTTTGGGTGCCTTCAGTTGCAGGTTAGTTGTCACTTGCCACTCACTGGTACGTTTTGATATGAGTCTGCAAGCAGTTGATTTATTATGGTCTCTCTGCAGTCAAAACATCTCCGCTAATGTTAATCTGAATTTCAAGCCATCTCCTAGAACTTGCATCACCTCCTCAGCTTTGCCTCATCTAATGAGGCATTAGATTCTCATAAGAAGTGTGTATCCTACTGTCCTTGCATGTACAGTTCACAGTAGGAAACCGTACACTCACACTCCTATGAGAATTTTATAAAAGTGACCAGTGTCCCATTGTAAGAGGGTTGAAGGTAAGGACTGTGGCTGCCGTGACTGACACTGGAAATTAAACCTTGACTTTTGGGACACACTGAAGAGCATAGACATTAGATAGGAAAATGGCCAGAGTAAGCAGCAGGTTAAAGTGATCTGGGTAGATCAAGCACTAAGCTGAGAATGGGGCTCTGGATCAGAAGATTCAGGTGGGTGCCTGTGTGTGCTTTGCATAGTGATTTTAGAAAGGAGTTGATTTCAGGTCGTAGGATCAGTGTGGACACTGGGTGTTATACAGGCTTCAGTTAAAGCTCTAAAGTCCTGATGTTTCTGAATTGTAGCTCTTGGGATTTTACCAGACAAAATGTTGTGGTAGTATTAAGAATAGTGTTAAGGGGCTGGGGATTTAGCTCAGCGGCATAAGCACCTGCCTTGCAAGCAGGTAGTCGTGAGTTCGATTCCTGGTACCGATAAAAACGAAAAAGACAAAAAAAAAAATAGTGTTAAAATCAGGAGGGAGGATGTGGGCAAAGTTCAGATTCTAACAATGAGTAGATGACATTTATTTAGCACTAATTGTATCAGGCATTGTTCTAAGTGCTTTATGTGTATTGTTCCATTTATTTCTCCCAACATCTACATAGGGAGACAGGAACTGGCTCACAGAGATTCTTCTTCTTCTTTTTTTTCCTTTTATCGGTACCAGGGATTGAACTCATGACTGCCTGCTTGCAAGGCAGGTGCTTATGCTGCTGAGCTAAATCCTCAGCCCACAGAGATTCTTCTTAAGCAATGAGACAGTAGGAAGAAGGAATGAGTCTGACATATTTAGCCATGGGATTATACAACAGCCATTCTGGGTACTAAACTATGGTTTTATGAGACATGACAATTTGCTGTCAGTGGCGTGTTAAACACATGCCACTGGTCATGCATGTTCCTTATGTCTTCAGTTCGTAACATCTGTCTAGGATGTTTTCCCTTACTGTTCTGGCTCTTACTTGAACTTTTCTAACTTTCCGTAGCTCTTATTGTCTACACTCATTTAGTCACTTGCTTATATCTTTCTTCCCGTTTTTCACTTGTTTGTATATTGTTAAATATATGTAAATTTTGTCTCATTACCGTGCTTCTGGAGGTCAATATTGTCTTTATATCTTCTATAGACCCAGCATCTTTATAAATCCAGTAGACTCAGATGATGTATTCTTACTCTGACTTTGCCTTGATTGTTATTAATTTGTAATGAAGTATTAATAAAATGATTTTTTTGCATATTTTGCAAGGTATGAAATGGTACATCTTTTGTTTTCTATAGGGCAAACTCAGAAAATGAATCTTTTTCAGGCAATAACAAGTGCCTTGGACAACTCATTAGCCAGAGATCCTACTGCAGGTAAGTTTCATTCTGCTTAAGAACTGTATTAATTCCAGAATTGAACATTTTCTTGAAGTACAGTATTTGTCTGGAGTTTGATGTTATAGCTAACATTATGTCTATCAGAATTTTTAAAGGACCTAATCAGATAATGAAGGGTAAATGATCAAGCTCCACTATTTACCATTTTTCTTTTCTTTTTTTTTTTTGTCTTTTTCCTTTTTATCAGTACCAGGGATCGAACTCACGACTGCCTGCTTACAAGGCAGGCGCTTATGCCGCTGAACTAAATCTCCAGCCCCTATTTATCATTTTTCAATGTGCCTTGTTACTAGTTACTTCTCATGTGTATCTATAGAAAATTTTCATTTTGCGTGTAGTCCTAATATTAATACCTTCTGGATTGATAACTGATAACTTCTGTGTTCTCCTTTTCTTTGCTATTGTAAAGAAAAGAACTAGAAAATACTACTTGTATAGATACTTATTTATCAAATGAAGTTTAGATTTCCACACATTAATGATTGTTTAGCTATCATCATTCAACTTATAAGATTTATTTGGATGTGATACTTTTAGTATTTATAATAATTTTTATAGGTAATTATATTTTTATTTTATTCTATGATCCTATTGTGTTTTCTAAATTTGGTTGGCTTAATATACGTGTGTGTGTGTGTGTGTGTGTGTGTGTGTGTGTGTATCTCCTTTTAAAAAAATAATGCTGTGGATTTCCACTTCAAAAGCCTTGCTTTAAGTGAAAATCAAGTTGCCTTTTTGGGAGGAAGTGAGAGCTAGAGGATGATTAACCTTTACTTGTTTCAGATGCTATCTGAAAATGATAAACTAGATGAGTGAAGCATGGAGAAGGGACAGTTACCATCTTGAGAGCTACAAAACTGTTGGGTGCATTTGTGGGACTAGAGTTCAGCTCTGTGAATGCTCCCTATTTTATTTTCCTTGCTGTGCTATAAAACTTGTCTTAAACTTCTACTTAGCACGTCTTTCCTTCACTTACCGTATATCTGACTGTAGTTACTTCTTTTCTGTTTCACAGTCTACGATCCTTTGTTATTTGAAACCCTTCCCTTAGCTTGGAATGCTCTTCCGTCAGCTCCTACAGGGATGACACTTACTGTGTACTATGCATAAGGAATCATTAGTCTGGCATCCTTGGGTGTGAGTTGTAGTTCTGTTGCTAGCTTTCTGACCTTGAAAGTCAGTATTCTTTAAAAAGTTTTTTTTGTTGTTGTTTTTATTAGTACACATTTCATTACATTATGATACATTCCTCATGAGTTGGTGCATGGACATAACACATCTCAATTCTTTTTTTCATCCCCTTCTCCTCTCCTCCCTCTCCCTTCCCTTCATCTTTTGGTCCCCTTCCCTTTTGAAGAAGATCCATCTTCCATTTCTTATTATCTATCTTTTATTTTGCTCTTTATTTATATTTTAGGTTTCTCCTATAAGAGAGACCACACAATATCTAAGCTTGTGTGTCTGATTTATTTTACTTAGCAACTGTGCTACTTCTGTGGCCTCATTTTCTTTATAGAAAAACAAATAAGGTTGGATCCATGGTTCTGTCTCACCTGGAGTTATTTTGTTTTTTCTGCCTTCAGCAGTATCTGGAGACACTTGGGGTTGTCACAACTGTGTGTAGGCTGGGACAGTTGTCAGCCAGTAGATAGAGACCAAGTTTGATGCTGTATTTTACAGTGTATAGGACAGGTCCCACAGCAAAAGAATTAAGCAGTCCTTAACATCAACGATGCTGAAATTGGGAAACTTTAATCTAGACTTATGGCCCATTTCTGTTTTATGATTTGAAATGTACATATTTAAATTATTTATTTTTCATGGCTAGTATCATTTAGGGATTACCAAAAAAATGTCTTTAAATGTTGTTTTTCAGTAATATTTGGTGAAGATGTTGCCTTTGGTGGAGTCTTCAGATGCACTGTAGGCTTGCGAGACAAATACGGTAAGTTATTATTCTTATATCATTTCTACTTAAAGATCTTAAAAATGCAAAATGTACCGGTTCAGCTCCCATATATATTTTTTTATTTTAAAGAGAATAAAAAACCAACAAAAATGATACAGAATTTCAAAACAAGAGGAGAGGAAATTAACAATGGTTATTATATTGCATATTGTTGCCTTCAAAATAGTTGCTCAGATTACCAGATATAGGCATACAAAATTGATCAAACAATATAAGCACTGTCCTTTTTAGTGGACTAGTAGAATGAATAGTATAATTATCTTAGCTGTCGTGTGTGTGTGTGTGTGTGTGTGTGTGTGTGTGTATCCCCCCCTTTTTTTAAATTTTATTTTGAAAGTGATAAAATACAACAGAACAAGACAGAATAAAGCTAACTAAGATCATACAGTGAAATTGGTACAGAACTTCACAGCAAGTTACCGGGATAACAGTAATAAGTATCACAGTATATTTCATTATCTTTATGATAGTTGTTCTTTCAATCATGTATATCAAAATGAGATGAAATACAGAATATTATAGAACTTATCTAAACAGAATATTGAATAGAGCAATACCATTAATCAGAATAGAGCAAAACAGTAATAAAAATATTTGCCTTCAAAGAGATGGTAGAAGGAAGTCCCCCTTATTTGCTATGGTCAGCCTCCCAGGAGACATTCAGATTTCTGGTTCCCGTTTGCTAACGGTGGGGGGACAGCAGAAAGGGGGTAGGAGAAGTGGGATGTTTGACTCTAAGTTGTGCCTCAGTAGGTTCACTATTGCTTAGCAGGGAGGCAGGTTGGTTGTTTGGTTTCCCAGTATCCACACTGCCACCACTTACCAGGGAGGGGAGGTGCTTGCTTGGCTTCCCAGCATCCTAAGTTCCAACATGGCGCAGATCTCAGGAGCTGCTGCTGGTTCTCCCCCTGGAAGGGCCGCAGTCTGCCACACCGCCACCCCTTACCAGGGTCCCCCTTCTTATTGAACGGATTTCTTTTCATTTCTATAGCTGCATGCAGAGCTCTACAGCACACATTTCTCCAACTGTTTTAACTCCAGCATCCTCTGTTGAGCCACATATTATAGATTCCAAAATATTCTTCACTAAGTACATTATCATGTCACTTACCTACTCAAGAACAAGAGAGAGATTTATTTTTAAAGGAATTGACTCCCATGACTGGCAGCTGGCACATCTGTAGGGCACTTTGGCAGGCTGGAAACTCAGGTAGCTGCTCTCTGTTCCAGTCTTGAGGCCAAATTCTTTTTTGATTGGGAAACTAGTCTTGTTTCTTAAAACCTTAAATTAATAGCATGAGGCCATGTGAAAGATAATCTCCTTGCTCAATGCTGCTGATTTAAATGTTAGTGACATCTGAAAAATGCATGCCTTTACAGCAACATCTCGATCTGGGCTTCACCAAATCACTGGGCACCGTGGTCTGGCCAAGTTGACCTCAAATTCAGAATCCTTTCTGCTGCATCTCAGCTGTTCTTTCTGTCTTTGTCTGGCATGCTGGCATTCATTTTGTTTGCCTCAGTAAGACTTACAGCCTTCAGAATACATGTTAGGTGATCTTGTAATTCCTATTTCTCTGATTTGCAGTGTAAGGATTGTGTCTTTAGCCTTCACTGTTAAGGATACCTGTGAGGTGGTTTTGTCATTTGACTTTCTCTGTCTTATCAAGAAGTCAGCAAAGCAGGTAATTCTGGAGTTAGGAGCACCTAATGTCTCTTTATCTTGATCTTATTACATTTATCCCTACCCTGTTGTGCTCATGTGTGTGCAAAGGGTCGGGGTGGGGGGGACTTTAAGATGTTTTTTTAAAAACTGTTGTTCCTGTTCCTATTCATTATCTCTGAGGTTATGTTGCATTCCAGTCCAGGATGCCACAGTGTGTTCTATCTTATGTACTAGGAAGTTCCGGTTTGTTCTTTTTGCTACAGCAAGTTGGGTTTCTGGATTTAGTCTCTCTGCTTCTTCCTGTCCTCAGTTGTTTAGTTTGACATAGTTGAGCCAAAGCTTATTTATTCTGTTCATCGAGACCCCCTATCTTAAAAAAAATTAAAAACTTCCTATATTTTATTTCATCAAAAATAATTTATGTTCAGTGTAGACAATTTGGGGGAAAACAGAAAAGCATAAAGGAGAAAATAAAAATTGCTCATTTACTTCCAGAGATAACTTGGAGATACCCGGAACATGTAGAATGATATTTTTACAGCTTAGTCTTTCCTCTGTCTGGAGTAACTGTGCTGCTGAGTAATTTTTAGCCAGCACTTTTCCTCCTGCTGGAGTCATTGTGGTGGCCTGCCATGTGCTTACCTGAGCTGTTGCTGCCTGTCTGCCCAAGTTCCCGTCCAGGACTCCTGTGGTTCTAGCCATTCAGTCTGGGACGTTTCATCCAGGCCTCCTGCTGTTCATAAGCGGGTGACTTCTGAGTTTCCAGACCTCTGTCCTGCTCTAGGTCCGTATATTCACTACTCCAGCGCTCGTCTTCACCTCACCGTTCCACAGGCACTTGAAGTACATCATTTTGAGGGGTAAACTTATTACACCCATTCAGCAGATCCGTACCTCCTGCTGCATTTCCTATGTTGATGAATATGCCCCCATCAGCTTAATTACACAACCCTGAAACCAGGGAGATCCTTGTGTGTTCCTTATTTCTTATTCCTCATATCCAGTCCTATAATTTTATCTCAGATTTTGTTTGGGATCTGGCCTCTCATTTCCATTCTTACTGCCCCAGGAATTCCGATCTTTCATTTCCTCTGCCAGAGAAAGTTTGTTTGTTTTTCTGGTTATCACCATTCCTTTGGGCTTATACTTCTTCAGTCTATTCCCTCTCTAGTTATCAGGGTTAGCATTTTAAAATGCGTATTTCTTAGCATGTCATACCAAAGTCCATGATTTACCTGACTTCATCCACTCTATTTTTCACAAATTTTGGATTATGGATTCTCCTCCTAAGTTCTCAGTTGTTCTGGTCACATTACCTGGATCTCTCACCCATGCTTGCTCATGTGGAAAACTCCTGTTTCTCATTCAGAAGAATTCTCTCTGAAGCTTTTCCTGGCTCTCCAAAACTGACTCAGGCATTCTTTTTATCACTGGTTAGATTTTTACCTTTTACATTTGTAAGTTATATTGTAGCTATCTGTCATATTGCCTAACAGGCAGCTTCCCAAAGGCAGCACATCTGCAAGACATCTGTGCATCCTTAGCCCTTAAGACTGATTCTGGAAGCATTTATCAATATTGCTGAGTGAACTCATCCTTTGTCCTATAACCAGCAGTGACCTACTGGCTAGGAAAGGGATTTTCTTGACTCCCTGGAGTTATTTTGGTTGATCTGACTTTTTTTTTTTCTTTGTTAAAAAATAGGTTAAAATGGAAATTTTCTTGAGAAAAAGTTCAGTACTCTTGGAAGACACCTACAAATTTGTATCTACATGGCAGAAAACTGAACTAATTAATGGCTGATTACCTTTTAGGTTACTGTCAATAGCTGCTATGAAATTTTACAACTTTAGGACTGAAGAATGAAACTTTCGATAAGAACAAGTTAGTAAAGATGGACAAATCACTACTACTCTCTGACAGCAGCAAGCTTTTGTTTTCAAAAGTGAATGACAGTGATGCTTATATATATACATATATATTTTTTCTTACATATTTAGAAAAGAAAAACAAGAAAAAGAATCCTACTTATTTTTATAATCTCTGCTCTTTTGTGAATAGGCCAGGAATTTTGAGCTATGCAGGAGGATCTCTGCTTACCATTCTTTTTTTTTTATGTTAAAGTAATTTGTATTTAGAAGAACTAAAAAAGTATATTGATATAGTTGAATAAATTGCATGAAATGACTTAGCATCAAAACTCCTTATGAGAGATCCCCTCGCTTTCCCAGATGAGTGCTGAGCAGGAAGAGCACCACCATCAGTAGGTGGCAGTCTGCTCTCTGTGATGAGACCTTTGCTGTTCCTGCTGTCGAAACTCTGGGACTGTCACAAACCATTTTATACTCCATTGGAAGGTAGAATTTGAAGAATCTCAGGTTTACTGACATAATGTTCTGAAACTGATTACTATTTAACATAAATGTAGAAGTTGGATAATTAAAGTCGATGCTATAAAAAAGGATGCTATAAAGAGAAACCATTTTGCGTTTGAGATCATCGAGATGTGAGGGAAGTGTCACTGAAGCACTTCCTACCGTTTCCTCTGTCCTTTGATAGAACAAAACAATATGAATGCCTTGAAAATGAAAGGAAATAGAATAGTATACCCTCATTAACTCAGTGTATACCACATGGCAGCTGTAAACTATTCAGGTGATGAGCTCTCTTTATAAGGATCTAGGAGAATTCTAGGGAAGCAAGTGATGAGAGAGAGCATTTCAAGGCAGATGGTTTGTAGAGTATGTGTGACTTTCTGTTGACTGCCCCATGCCTGTACAGTCTGTCATTCCCCTTGTCTGTCTCTTTGTGAGTGTGTCCTATTTCAACAAGATCGATAAAGGGAGGTTCAGTGTGTGTTTTTAACCCTATTTTGTACTGACAGAAATATTGCCTGGCTGTGGCTCTTAGAGTGTATTTGACCCACATGTTGGAGGAAAATAGGTGAGAAAAGGAGCAGTATAGGACTTGCTGAGTGAGTCTGCAGGCCTGAACATCTGCTTTGTCCTGGGCTTGATATCTTTCCATTAATGAGTTCATCCCTTCACACCACAAGTGCAACTGTCAACATTTTGGGGAAACTAATATAACCACTAACTTGTTTTCTTGTGTGTATATCACAAAAGCTGTTTAATCATATACTTTAGTATACTGAGTGGGGAAGGCAAATTCTAAGACAAGCTGCTGAAGGAGGCTAGTTTTCATCTATAGGATGCCATTATTTTAGGAGCTGACTTTGAACCTCTCATGTCTTCATCAGTGAAGTGCAGGGAGAGAACAGCCTATTGTGGATAGTTTTACACAATTCCAG